ATATATATATATATATATATATATATATATATATATATATATATATATATATAAATTAGCTTTATGTATTGTAAAACAGAAAAGATCCTTTTCAGTCAAACTACATGGCTGCAGCTCCCGTCTCTGTTGAACCACCCAGTCTGCTCTGATTAAAACACGTGTCAGGCTAACGCGCTGTTGATTTTCTGGACCATAATTCATTTATCAGTTTTAGAATGATTAAACCGTCTGACAACAGAAGCAGAAAAACAGGTGAGAACAACCTCATCAGGAGTTGAGGCTCGCCCCATGAGCTGCTGACGTGCTAATAATCCGTGTTAGCCTGACCCTACTGCTGCTCAGGTACTGACAACTGTTCCAGTTGTTGGAGGCAGAAACAGAACATCCTCTGTGTTTTAGCTCAGAGCCTTTCAGCAGCAGCTGATACATCTGACAGGATTTAGTTTGAGGGTGTGAAATACACGACAGGAAATTAATGAAGTAGTTGAAGGAAGTGATGGGACTATTTGAAACGGAGCTTCAGGAAGCTGCTCATTTCTCTGTGGAGTCCACTTTGTGTTTGGAAGCTTAAACTCTTACAATCTCAAAACTATCACCAGTTAGCAATGAAATACAATTATTCTTTATGCTAAACACGTCAGAAATGTTTGGGATCCCGTGACACCACAACTGAACTAAGAGTTTTGTCTTTAAAAACAAACAAACATGTAAGTGTGGCTCTGTCCAGCTGACCTCAGTGAGAATGTGTAACTTGTGGACAGAAAGTGCCTCTGACGTTACGTGTGAATCCCACAAAGCTGCAGTCCTGCAGTGCGTACCTGTCTGAACCCTGCAGACTGGACTCTTCTCCATAGAAGGAGTAGACGAGGTCAGAGTTCTCCTTGCTGACGTTGGCGAAGCTCGAGTCGAAGGTGGGTGCGTAGGACGTGAACGGTCCGTAGTTTAAATAGGACACTGTAGGGAGGGGGTGACATACAGGAGAGCTCATTAACCACCGCTCAAACATCTGATCTGGACAACAGAACCCAGCTCGGTACCTGGAGTGATCCTGTTCCTCTTGTCCTCCCTAAAGTTCTGGAGGGCGTTCACACCGTTCTGCAGACGATTGGACATCATGCCCAGCTTCACCGGACAGTATCCAACATCTGCAAGAGCAAAAACACTCATTTAAGAGCTTATTTCTTTGAGTCTCTCAAAGCCCTGCTTGTATTTAAACAGGATCAATTCACTGATCAACCCAAACTCAGACAGGTTCAACACGTCTGAAGATACCAACAACCAGAATTATTTCTAGGAGGATGATATTTATCACATTAATAGTTCAGAAAATGCTACTATTTTAAAGATCAACACATTTTACACACAAGAAAGGCTGGAAAAAAAATCTTATTTACAAAACTGGAAGTTAAAATGTTGTAAACTGTGGTTGAAAAGAGCTCCTTCATAAAGTCTAACTTAAAGTTCACCCAAGCTTTTAGAAAACATTACGAGTGATAGGTTTTCCCTAGGATTCTGGCCTTGGGGTGTCAGAAACACAAAGACACTAGAGAAATCACATTTTCTACGAAAATGCAGTGTGAATGTTTATTGCTGAAAAACAGCTGAAATTAGCTATAAAAAGAAAAAAAACATGCTGAATTTTAGCTGAAAAGAAAAAAACAAGCACAAAATGTGATGAATTACGTCATAAAACTGCTAAAGCTTGACACTGAAAGTGTTTTTGCCTTTATATAACTTTGTTATATTCATAAGAGTAATATGAAACTTATAGCAAAGGCAGTCCCTGTTCATTTAAAAAGTTATTTGAACTCTGCAATTTATATTTACATTGTAAGATGCTAACGATGTTGCTCGGAACGCATTAATATTTAATGCAAAGTTAAGTTTTAGCTACAAATTAGGAAGTTGTGGTGCAGGGTGGGGGGGAAGTGGTAATGATGTTTCGACGTTGGTGTCTCCCCCGCTGCACAGAACTGGTCACGTGCGAACACGTATAGATGTTTATATTTTTCACACGCCGTGAGCTTTATGAGGGGAGCGGGTGATTCAGTTGCGAGGGAGGGCCGCCGTCCTTGAACACTGGTAGGAGAAAACGCTGATAATGGGTGCATTCATTTAACTGGTCCTTAAAAATGGACGTACCCCCTGGTGAGGGATCAGCTGGGTTGAGTATAGCCAGAGTGGTGGAGCCATCGGACTTCTGCCTCGCAAACTCCAACTACAAAATAAAATGTAAAAACAGTCAACGACGGCTCAGTGACAGAAAAGCTCAGATAATCAGAGAAATGTTTGTCAACCACGACAAACAAACAAGTAAACTGGTCAAAAACAGGATTCACATTAAGCTAAAACATAGATATTCTTAGATAGAAGTTATAACAAATGGCAAATTTCCTTGTTTAATAAACAAGGCGTGTTTACAAGCTGATGTCCAGATTAGAAGAAATAAAATCTTGGGAGTCGTTTCCTGCTTCCTCACATCACACTGCAGCACTCGGTTGGACAGCTTTCCTCCAGACTCATCGATGACCTTGCGGATTTCCTCAAGCTCTTTCTCAGCCTTTGCCGCTTCGTCCTTGGTGTCTTTGTCCTGTCTGCAAAAAAAAAAATGAAAGAAAAGGATGAGTCACTTTGACCATGAGCCAAAATAATTTGATTTTATAGCAACACACAAAAAAAGCTGCAACAAGGAAACGTTTGCTAGCATCAATACAACACGTCATGAAATTAAAACAAAAAGTTGAGTTAAACATTCGCACGGCAGCAGGCTCTTTCAGGTTGTTCCTGTGACGATGAGCCCTTCTGTAACAAATCACTTCCATCAACAGGTCATGCTGACTCAGACGGAAACAAAACTGATGTAAAGATGTACGACCACAAAGGTAAACCAGTCCCAGCTTGTTGTCAGGCATTCCTCACATTCTCAGCCTCCACAGTGAAAAACCAACACATGGAAAAACGCTGTGCCCTGACCGAGTAGGAAGTGTTTTCATCGGCCCGCTTCGTGCACGTTCTGACGGATTTGATCAGCTTTACTCATAGTACTGTGAAACCTGACATGACACAGGAACACAGCTGTGCGTATTGTTGGAATGTGCACATTGAAGCACCTGGGTGTGCTGGGTGTCTGGGAGCGTTCACTGGCCCCCGAGCTCGAGGCTCCCTCCTTGTTCTGGTCCAGGCTGCTGACCCCTTGCTCCTCAGACTTGAAGGGCTGTTTGGTCAGGGGGTCGAGGCCTGACATGAAATCAATGCTCTGCTTCAGGCTGTCCAGCCTTTCCTGTTCAAGTCAAAGAACAGAGAAAAAGCAAACAAATGAGGACTTTTGAATACTGATGATGTAAAGTCTGTGAAGATCACCAACGCTCTTTGCTGCCCTCATCTGTTGCAGCTTTGCTAAACAAGACATGAGTGATTCAGCCTCAGTGGCTCGGCTACAGTACCGGTAACTATCAAGCACAAAATTGTTTTTGCCGCCACATGCGTGTTGCCAAAATCTCTCATGAACCAGCGGAAGGAAACTCTCAGAATGTTTAAATATTGGACGTATATTTTGGAGTCAATCCAATTCAAGACGGCTGCCACAGTCAGCCAACCTTAGAAAGCACATAAATGGAAATAACAAAACAAACGCTACGAAAAAATAACTCGGCAAAGTGCAGCATGTTCTGATGATCACATCCACAAATGATGAAACACTACGTCAAAGTGCAAACAGAATAAACGTGACTGTCGCACGGAAAAATGTGAGCTCTAACTGGACAGAGCTCTTTATAGCAAAACGTGGTTCAGCTCAAAACCAAAGCCTTTAAATGAAAGGGCAGATCCAAGTTTGACAAGTCTATTACCACTTTAAGAGGTCACTCTGTGACTTTCTGTCAACGTGTAATTATAATGGTTCTTGTTTTCAAGCTTCAAATGCAGGACTGTAACAACTTCTTACAGTTAAAAAAATATCAACATAATTCTAAATGCAGAAACAAAATCCTTCAGCTTTTAAATAACTAATAATTAGTCTTTATATATCAGCAATAGTTGAAAGATTTAGCGACACTGCAAAGTCTGTCAAACAGCAGAAAGACTGATAAGACTGCTTCCATACAGTGTTTAAGGGGCAACGTAGCAGCCAGGTGATGCTGAAGAAACAAAAACAAACTTTATGTGAGAATGTGCATAAACACACACAAACTTTTCACCTGCAGAGAGAATGTGCTCACCAACATAAACTTTTTGAGTCGACAGTAATAAACTGCAAAGTACTAAAACTCACCTAGATATACCAAAGTATGTTCAGTTTCCTGAATACAGGGCACATTTAAACACATTTTTCTCCAAAGTTTCAACATTTAAAAAAGGAACGATGCACCTGAACTACACTGAACCTCATACAGCACGACATAGAACACGCCTCAGACGTGACTGAAACAACCTCACTCGTGTCAACTGTGAAGTTTCCTATAATTCTGTCATGTGTAGATGTAAATACGTCAAGTTACCGCACATCTGCAATGCTCACAGGCAGATGAGGAACATAAAATGTGTGAGTTATCTACGGGAACTTCAACTCTTACTGAGAAAACAGAGAGTTGGCTGACAAGTTCTTTCACAGTCCTTTCTGAGCTGTGTCATGCCAGCCGTACGGTGTATGACACCCACATGTATCAAATTCCTCTACACCAGGACTGAAACATTCTGCCGATGCACAACAGTTTCTTCACAACAACCACTTAATAAATGAACGTAGCTCTTGAGTACCTCTGTGTTTGCAGTGCATGTAAAGTTGGAATTGCCTCAACCTCCGGAGAGCACCCCCAGCAGATCTCCGCCCTCGGTTCACGTCTCAATTCCAGTAACAGTGTGTGTTTTATGTACAGTAAGTGGTGTCTAACATTACTGAATAAAAAGCGATGGGCAGCCGTCCCTTGCCTTTTCAATACCTCTGCAGGTATGCTCTGCTCTGACAAACACAGCTTCACAAACACAATCACTCCTCTCTGCGAATGGTGAAAATGCAAGAGGACAGTGTGATAAAAATGTTTTACCATTTACTCATTTAGAAGCATCTCTGACTCGCATTCTATGAAATTCCTTTTCTTCATGAATCTAGATATTATTTTTGATCGTGCTGCTGAGAGGAGAATCACACATGCAGGACACATTTGCATCTATGTGCACATTTAAGTGTGTTGTTGTCATGTTGCTGCTGATCTGTTTCATGTTGCTGCTGATCTGTTTCACTGTTGATGTGTTCATGCGTGCTCATCTGGTTACACAGACTCATGTTCGTGCTGATGTTCGACGCAATGGTTTTTTTAATGCTATAGTGCTTAGTGTATATTTAGTTGATGTTTTTCTTAGTTCATATCTTAGATGTTATTACTGTTTTTCTTATACATTTTATTGTTGGATGTAACTGGGACCCTGTGTACATAATTTCGCTCCACCACATGTACCACATGAGATGACAATAAAGAAACTGTGACTCTCTGATTTAAATGGAGGCGTGTCAAGGGAGGAGTTTGCTCAGTTCCACGTTCATTGTCATGTATGAAGGAAAGGTGCCTGGAAGCATGCATGTGCCGTTTGATAAATCCAAATGTTTTATGTGCATGTGTAACTTTTACATTTTGTCCTCACGCCAATTCTCAGCATGAATGCTGCGCACTCTTTCACACATTTCACGAGGAAACTTGTAGTGAATGTTCACACCTGGCTCAGGATCTTCATCCCAGAATGTAACAGTTTTCGAGCTGCTTTATGGTAGATCGTCTCAGGTTTGTTGTAAATCATGGCATTCTCACACATGATCCTGAAATCCATCTGCACCAAAACAATGTACATATGTATAACGTTGTTAAACACTTGACAACATGACAAAGAAATTGAAGATGAAATTTTAAACACTTTAGAATTCCATATAAATTAAGTAACAACTAATGCTTGGCCCTTTCAGAACTTTTTTATCATTAATTTCTTTGATCAAATATAAACACAGCTTTTAATCAAGCAATGTTTCCTCTCTGGAAGCAGTGATACGTGTACCTTGAGTTCATCCAACGACTGGTAGTAATCTTTCTTTACTTTCTCCTTCATTGAACTGAAGTCCATAGGGCGTTTGATAATTGAAGAATAACCAGGTGCAATGAGGTCTGTGACTGGAAATGAAAAGAACGCATTGGGGTCTTTCCTACAAAGAAAATACAGTTCTTTATCACAAATGTGCCAACAATACATTAACAAAACATAGATTAATTGGTTAGTTCTTACAATTCCCAGTGCAGCAAAGCAATGTGCTGCAGACGTGCAAAAAATAAAAAGTTGTTGTAATCCATACTGCACCTTTGAAGCTGCCTTATGAGCTGATTCAGAGCTTCCTGCAGAGGTGTCTGCTCTTTTTCTGTCAGGGAAAACAACAAGAGCATATATAAAAAATTAAACACTTGAGATGATAAATGCTGGAAAAAAATTGGGATTTAATACCTTCTAGTTTATCCAGTTCTGAACGTATAGGAGTCCTGCACGGATCTCTGTCGTTTTCCCCCTCTGCTATTTGCCCTTTTTTCTTCTTAGTCATCTAAAACACAAACAAGAATCTCCAACATGAGTCTAACAGAGCCCCCTTACAATCTATAGTGCCACTTCTACAATAGGAAAGTGTGTGTCCTAAAAGACCCTTTTTACCTTCTTCTTCCCTCTTTCCTCCCCTGGTGAGCCAAGGCTTCTTTCTTTGTCTTTTTTCTTTTTCTTCTTTTTCTCTTTAGGTTTGTCTCCGTCTGCCAGGTGATCCTCATAAAATGTGTCCAAACTCGAGCTTCCGGTCGTCACCTCGTTCCCGGACACTTTTAACACCAGCTTCAGCGGCCTGTCTCCATAATCTGTAAGCATCAAACCAATGTGTAAAGATCTAACATGAACCCTGACAGCTCGCATGCTATCAGCTAGCACTGTGATGCTGCCACTCGAAATAAGTAACTTGTATTTTCTTTTATCGTTAATCAACCGCAATGGGTAGAATTACAGATACACGCGGGAAATGCGCATAAATATCAGTTTAATCATGTTCAGCAGAGCAGTTAGTCCTACCGAGCTAACGCTAATTCATCATAATCGTGACAGTAATAATTTACGATAACCGAACATAAAGAGGTAATTCCGCTTGTTTTTAACAAAATCTCTACAGAAGTGTAATGTAAATAAAATGGTAAATTGTGTAACAAAATTACCTTCATATCCGTGTTTATCAGATTTGTGTTTTTTGTGTTTCTTGCCCATTGTTTGTTTTTAGACACCCCGCTGCTAGCTCTGTCGGATGAGTTAGCGGAAGCAGCAACTGTGTAGTCAGCGGCTTCTCACAGCGCCACCTGACGGTGAGGCGGTGATACTACATGAACACGCAGCTGCGCTATCAGCCAGAAGGGGGCGCTATAGGCTTTATTTTATTATCAAATAAATGGGTGTTCTTGCATATCTAATTTAAGGGTCACTGTGACCCTAATATAAATTACTTTACTGTAGTTATCGAAGACAGATCCAAAAGAATATTAGTTTTAGTATTAGTTATATTGTGCTCTCATACAAAAAGTAGGAGTTCTGTCAGTTTCACTGACCATTTCAATTTGTGGAAGAATTTGTGGAATAATATAGCAGTGTAGTTCTGCACTTGCATCAAGTCAGAATATGTGCAAGTGAAGCAACAAAAATCAAATATATAAGAAAAACAATAGTGAATTGTCTTGATTTTTTTTTTTTTTTTGTTGCACTTTTCATATGTGCATACTCTCATGTTACTCTTGAGTGGACCCTAGGGGCCTAAGAGGAAGAATAATGTTTGCTAAACTGTGGTTAAGAGACGAGGCTACCAATACTTGTGTTATGAATAAGCTTTTTTTGTTTAAAATACAATACTTTATGAATTTGGAGAATCAGAAGTGAGGAGAAATTAGTGGAAAGCGCTGAGTGAAGACTGAAAGAGTATAGTCTAAAGAGACCTTTAATGTAGACATTTGGATTCTGTCGGAGGTGTGAAATCATATTTGGGCAGCCTCCTCTCCACATCCTGAGCATCATGGTGAACACATATTTGCATCCCTGGTCCCTTTTCTTCTGGAACTTGTCTGAATGAAGCAGCCTGATCTCTAAAGGCAGACAGATGACACGTCGTTGGATTTGTACGTTTTGCAGGACTCTGTAGAGTCTGACTGGCTGCCTTGCAGAGCTGTTATGCTCTGTTAAATCGGCACATATTGTACCAGCTGATGAATGACAGATGTTTTATTCATGGAGGAGAGATAGTGTACATTCTTTGAAGCACATTCCAGGTTTTATGAAGACGGCAAAGGATGGGGGCAGAAGGTCTGAAAGGAAAGCAGATTGACTGAATTCACCCGTTTCAGCCATTCCTGCCTTCAGATGAAAAGGTGATTTTTGACAGTCTGTTGATGTTTGAGTCTCCATCTGAGCACACTCATCCTCAGCAAATTAGGTCCTGATTATGAAATACAAGCGCCACAGTGCAGTCTTTTACACTCACCCAAAAGGAATAATCAAATAGACACAAGTACTTCACAAATTTAAAACATTTATTAAATTTTATTGACTGCAGAACAAAATACACAGGTTTAAGCTTATTTACAAATCAATTTAAGTCAGAATTATAATTCTGCGATGTTTTGTGTACAAAGTATTTTTTCTCCAAAAGAAGGCCCAGCAATCCAGAATGTATGAATTAAAAAAAAATAAAATCTTTAGCATCAGTTTACTGACCTGCTAATGCCCCACTTTCTTTAGCTACTAACAATAAATTGATTAAAACTAGTAAAATGAGTCAAATTTTGCTCTGTGTGTTTATTTTGATGTTAAAAATCTGTTTGTACAACTCGTTTATTTAAACTTGCATGTAGTTTCATAATTGCCAAGTGCCACATGAACATTTTTAGCCTCAGCTAAAAAGGTGCAGCTTTAAAATCACACTTATGATCCAGGAATTATTCACATTAATGTGATGTCACGCTTTGGTGATATTAATCATGTTGTCGAGGCGTGCACGTTCAAATCCTGCACACTGGATTGAAGTAACTTTAGATTCTCAAAAGTTAGTGGGACAGTTCCAGTCTGTTAAAGGCAGGTTATGTGGAGAAGTTATTGACGGTTAGTATCTTACCTGTTATAGATAGCACTTTGAATGGTCTCAGTCAAGTCAAAGAGTTAAATAGAGATCAGTAACACTGAAAAGGGTTTGAACAAAAAGCAGTTGTGAAATTAATTATCCTGTGTTGGAACAGGCGGCTAAAAGAAGACCTGAAGACTGGTTCCACATGAGAGAAGTGTCCCCCCCAAAAAATGTAGTAAACTGCCTCCCTCCCTGCAGACAAGATGGCTGTTCAGGTCTTTAAATTCAAAATAACAAAAAAAGCATAACAAAAGCTGGCTTTGACACATTTATTAGGGTCACACATTTATAGATAAAGTGTAACATTTGGAAAGAGAATCCATTTGAAGGTTTTGGAACCATACGTTTGGACTTGTGTTATACAACATTTCATTTTCATGCTGTTTATCATAAGTTGTTTCTTTACTTTCTTCACTTAAACTTGGATTTTTATCAGAAAAAAAAATAACTTCACATTGATGGATTTGTTGTATAACCAGCATTTCTGTTTCCAACGTTTTGACATTGATGTTTTCTCCGTTTTTCTAGATTTTAAAGCTAAACCCACTCTTCGGTGTAAATACATCCAACTTCAAGTCCATGGCAAAAGAGAAATTAATAGCTTCTGTCCTTCTGAATTGGTGTCAAAACATGGCGTGAAGTCTGGTCGTAGAGGAGAAAAAAAGTATTTTACACTGAGAAGTTGTCGGAGCTCTGCTCAGAAGTGACAGATGAAATGTTTGGGGTCATTACGACTGTCAACACAGAAGGGGTTTTGAAGATGTAACCAACCATCACACGAAAGTCAGACAGGAACATCAAAGAGGAGAAGCCAATCATTCTGCCTCAGTGTTTTTTCTCCGCCTGCCGGTCTGTCATGCCAACATCTTTGAGCATCGCTCACTCATCCCCGTCAAAGAGTTTTGTGTGTGACGACTCTATTTTTATCTGCAATCAGAAACATTTCATCCTGGTGGGTTTGATTGTTGATTTTTACAGCTTACATAGACTCATGTGGTCCTCTGGTAAGTCTGAAGGTCCGGGGCCGAGTTTGTGCAGCAACCTCTTACGCCTTGTGTTGAAGCAACTGTGAAAAGGTACTTTCACCTAAAGAAAACCCCAAAGCAGCATCCTGTGACCGTATGGATGTAGCAAAAGACAAGATACAGTGTGATGACAGAAAACAGGATGCCTGCTGGAGGGTGATGGTGTATATATATTTACAGGACACACATGTCAGGCTGCTCTTACTCAGTGTGCTGCAGTAAAGAATGGAAAGACAAAGTGGCAGGAAAAGTAGGCAAATGTTGGGGTAGAAGGCCTTTTTCCTGTCAGTCCAATTTTGAATTGTGTTTTCTGGAAGCCTGAAAGAGGTCCTGGCATGAAAAAAAAAAACACCCCACACCGTTGAAGTTTGGTTACGATGCTCTGTTTGATCCTTCGCTGTTTGAAAAGTTCATATAAACTGGGAGACAGCTGCTGGGAAATGGTCTTTGCAAACCTGATGGGAGTTTATCATCTCGGTTTAGGGAGAGGCCCTGATGCACGCTGCTTGTAATCTCACTCTGGAGCTTTATCAGGTGGCTCTCCCAACTAAAAGAGAAACAAGTAGACCAGTAGACAAGAAACCACAGAACAGGAGCTCCTCCTGGGTCTTAGTACAAAGCTTCCATAAAACAATGCAGCTTCCATTTATGACTCAAACTTCTGTCCATCGCCTTCCTCTGGAAAGAATATTTACGATGGACAACTCAATGCAACATAATCTAAAGGCTTAATCCAGTGGCTCACTATGACTGTTGGTGACTAGTTGGCATTCTTGAGGAATTCTGCAAAATGTCTCAAAAAGTTTGTGGGGTTTGCAGTTTCGAAGCACGAGTCACAGACGCATGGAGTCAACACTCACAGAGTCGTCGTGGGATGTATTTGGACACCTGCTCAGGAGCTCTTCTTATGACAGAAAACATCTAAATCCCCAAATCCAGGTCTAATAGCAGAACAGATTATAACTTTAAAAGAATAGTCCAAATGCAACTACACTACATTTCAGAAGTGTTCTCTGGGGTTTTCAAACGGTGGTCCAATTACAACTGGTGTTACTCTAGGATCCCTTCTAGCTGAATTTAATTTTTATCAAATATTTACAAGTTAAATAACACGCTCATTATAAAAGCTGAAAGTCAAGTCTTCAACTTTATTTATAAAGCACATTAAAACAGCAGCTGTTACCACAGTGACAATAACATCAGTGTAAATTAATAGAAAAATAAAACTATGATAGTAGGGAAAATTAATTAAAAGCATTAAAGAAGGAAAAAAAACATAAAAACACAGAACAAAAAATATTAAATCAACTCGCACTGCGTGAAAAGCCAGTAAAAACAGATGTGTTTTTAGCAGAGATTTAAAAACAGGGAGTGAAGTGGTCTGTCTAATGTCGGGGGGGGCAGGTTGTTCCAGAGTTTGGGGCCCATGACTGAAAAAGCCCGATCTCCTCTGAGCTTCAGTCTTGTTTTTGGAACAGCCGAAAGCAGCTGATCACATGATCTCTGCGCCTGAGAGGTAACACATGGTTCCATAAGAGGGTGCAAGGCCATTTACTTAAAAGGTTAGCAGGAACATTTTAAAATCAATTCTAGTATGCAGGGAGCCAGTGAAGGGAGGACCAAACTGGTGTAATGTGATCAAACCTGCAAGTTCCAGTTAAGAGACGAGCTTCATCATGTTTGGACGAGCTGGAGGCGTGAAACGGAGACCTGGCTGATCCCAGCATAGAGTGTGTAACAGTAGTAAGGGCAGATAAATCTGACAATCATCAGCATACCATGTTTCCTCAGGAGAGACCCCAAAGGGAGCAGATAGAGTGAAAACAGAAGGTGATGAAAAGTAAAAAAGCAAAGACAGACAAAAAAGATGGGAAGTTAAAGCAAACAACATTCTTGTCATTTTTAGTAACCTTCCAGTAACATTCTTGGCTCCAAATGGAAACCATTTGAAACAAAAGTGCAGTGGAAAAAAAACCTGTGAAGCAGAGGATGGTCAACCGTTATGCTAGTAGCTACTTAGCGGTGTCTATTAAAGCTGTTAGCAACAAAAAAATGCAAAACAGTGAAGAAGTTTGAATAAACTTATCTCAAATGTGTATTTAGTTGTTGTGGGGCAGAAAAAGAGTCACGCCTGCAAAGAATTTGGTGCCGTTTTCTTC